TGCCCGCACGATTTTGTGGAAGAGCCACACTCAAGGGGCCAAAGAGCCGCATGTGGCTCTCGAGCTGCAGTTTGCCGAGCCGCAGTTTGCTGACTGCTGCCCTAGGCTATGCCCTGTGCTGGGTGCTGGGCTGCTGGCCACCCAGCGAATCACCAGACCCCGGCCAGTTTGATGCCCACACTGCCTGGTGGGAAGACAGGCATACACAGTGGCATCCCAGTGTGATATAGGGAAGCTCAAGGGGTCCTGGGGGTTCAGCTGGAGGAGGTGATGCCAGAGCTGGTTTGTGAAGGATGACTAGCAGCAGAGGAGGGAGGAGAGAGGGCTCCAGGCAGAGGCAACAGCAGGGCCCGGGTGTGAGAAAGCCCTGGATCTAGAGAAGTCGCCAGGAGTTCAGTGTGTAGGGTCCTAGGGGAGGGGAGGAGCTCACCTGGGACCCTCACTCACATTCCCTGAATGATCAGAGGCTCCTCCTCCTCTCCAGGTACCGGAAGAAGTCCTCTGTAACAGATTCCTTCAGCAACCTTGTGCACCGCCCCACCATGGATCAGTTCACGGAAGGTGTGGCACCCAGATGTCTTCTCAGCCCTGCTGGCCCCAGGCAGCCCAGGCCCAGGCCCCGGGAGGGGCAGGAAGGGCGGGTATCCTCCCAGTCTCGCTGAGGGGGCTGAGCCCTGGCCTGGTGCCGGGACACACATGGGTTTTGAGGAGTGGCTCTCTGGTGAAGGGAGAGCAAATAAGACTTTCTTGCCTGCTGGCATCACCTGCCGAGGACCTAGAAGACAGCGCAAGAGAGTCTATGTGCTTTGTTCCTCGGGCCAGGGTGGCTGAGCACCATGTGTGCAGTTAGGTTTTCTGGTTTAGGTAGCAGTGATCCCGTCTGCCCCAGAGGGAATGACAAGGCAGCCGAAGGCAGTGGGAGATGGTCTGTGTGGCCAGAGCCATGTGGTGTCTTTGTGCCCCACGCGACAGTCCTGAGGTAGCAGCAGGCAACCATGAACAATTTGGGGCTCTTCAATATAGAGGCAAATGGCCTTCCCCACCTCGAGAGCTCTAGAAGGTTCCAGCAAGAAACAGTGCATGTGATGGTGCCGTTCCCTCCTTCATACCTCTCGTGGTTCCCTGCTGCCCACAGGACCAAGTCTGTAATCCCCCACCAGTGTTCAGGTCCCTCTGCAAGCCGCCTCTTCTTTCCCTGCCCCCCTCTCCCCCACCTCACCCCACTTCCACCTCCTGGGCCTCAGCCGTCCCCCAACATCGGAATGGTTTGGCTCTCCTGGGCCTCTTCCTTTCTCAACCCAAATGCCCTGTCTTCTGGAAAGCGTCCCTGGCCGTGAGGTCTCCTTCCCTTGCTCCCACAGCTGCTTTGTTCATCTCCTTGCACAGCCATAGTGGGGCTTGGAGGACAGGAGAGCAGGCTGAGGGCCCTGTGCTCACATCTGGGTGTTGGGTGGGGGAACCAGGTGGAAGACCAGGGGCAGGAAATACAAGCAAAGAATTCAGACCAGCGTGGGCACTGCAGATCCTGACCTGGGTGATGGGTGGAGGGCGTGGGAAGTGGCGGTGGGGAGCGGGGGGAGGATTTGGCCCAAGCTTCCTGCCAGGAGTCCCAGGAGGCCACAGGGCTTTGGTTTTCTCCCCACAGAGGAAATCCACGCTGAGGTCTGCTACGCAGAATGCCTGCTGCAGAGAGCAGCCCTGACTTTCCTGCAGGTAGGAACCCCCTGCTTATACAAGCAGCCTGGGGCGTTCAGAAGGTGGGCCACCATGTCAAAGGCAGAAGGGTCTACAGCAGCCACAATCAGTTCCCTTGGGGTTCAACAAGGACTGAGGCTCAGTCACCCCAGCACTCCCAGCCCTGGCCAGGCTCAGTAGCAGAGGTGTGGGCTCTATCCGCTACCAGGATGCGCTTCCACCTCCCGACTGCTGTGTTCCTGTTGAGGGTCACAGGGGATGACAGGCACGGGCACAGAGCCTGCTTTACAAGTTGACGTGATTCATTCAAAAAGCTGACTAGTAGCATCTCCTACAACGTACCAGACGTTGCGCATACATTACAGGTGTGTGGCTTTTACGTACCTTACACACACTGCGTGTTTGTGCTTACAAACATTGACATATATTATTTAATCTTCATCTCGCAGACCTGCAAAGGGGAGGAGCCACTGTCCCAAGGTCACGTGGTTAGCAAAGGGCAGAGCTGGGATTTGAACCCAGACCTGGCCGACTAGGAACCTGCGCTCCTTACCCACGATGGTAATTAGAGAACCATCACCTCATGATTTTACCAAAAAGTCTGGGTTATAATTGTCACATATAATCATCATGTAAACATATATATTAGGGTGGAAAAGCACATATAAATTTTATTGTTGGGGTGCTGTTTAATTGTCTTTGCTATTTTTTCTATCTTTTTGGACTTTTGATGATTAGAACTGGATTTAATCCTAATCCTTCATTAGGATCACTGTAATAATTGCACCAGGAATGTCCTTTTGTTTATTCTAGTATCACACATAATAAATAAACGCTCAATACCGCCCCCCCCCCCCCCC